TTAAGAAACAGATGTATGTAATGTTATGTTGCTTCATTTAAGACTTATAACAATTGTAAAGTAGGAATCAGTGAACTGCTATTTAGTGTAAATGTAATTTGGTGATAAGTCAGATGTACTAATATATATATATATATATATATAATTCAAAGTAAAATACGCTACTACTCAAAGCCTTGTAAACTCATTGGAAACAGTGAACAACCTTCACACAAAGGAAGAAACACACAGTTCATTTTCCGATAACTATTGAAAAGAACCGTTTATATTAACTTCGCTTTGCATATCTACTAGTCAAAAAGCTACTTTTTTTCACAGCTCTCTTCAACCACTGATTATTTCGAATATTGGGATAGGTACATGAAAGTAAGTAAGTGCCCAGATTGTGTAGTATTGTAATCCGTCTACTTTAGTGCGCTACGTTAACTGGTAGAGAAAACTGTAGGCGATGTGAATTTCATGTTACACATTGTTGATCCATTCAGTTGTCATTTTGTGTCGGAAATGAGGCATTTGTTTATTTCATGTATTTGTCTATTATTTATAGCAAAAGTACTGGAAGAAGATATGATAGATTATTTTTGTTACATTATCGTTTCTCTTGCTCTTTCAATGTCGATCAGTTTACTAAGACCCTTTATTTAGTTACGGACAAGTAAAGAAATGAAAATCAAATTAGTTTTTAATTAAATTAGGTGATAAAACTTTTTTAAAATGAAACAACGATAAATTTTCATTGTTTTTGTTGATGATGATGACTTCTTTAGTTGGGTATGCTCGTCATCCAGTCTCACTACACACAGAATAGCCGTTTACCTTTCTTCACTGAAATACATAATGGTGTATATTTCTTAGACAGTTTAATCACTTACTAGTTAATCTATCATTGATTTTAGTTTATAATATATCTTGATCGGCTTTTTACCATATAGTCACATTGGTTGATATTCTAACAATGTCGAGGAATTTCGTAATGAGTTTTAACCTATTATGGAGTGACTGTCAAGGATACCAGCAAAACTCAAGTGGTTTGCATGAAGAAGTCGTAAAGAACGGTATTCACACTTATTTGAAAGCAAGAGCACTCGATAACCTTATTATGAACAGTGAAACACTATAAGTTGTATGCTGAGGGAAATACATCATCCTATTCACTGATAGTAAATTAACAACCAGATCCGTGTACTTAAACCAGCTTCAGGTTTGGTTTGTAGAGTTGGCGAAAACCTAATTAACTTCGAAATAAGTTTCACCCTTACCCAGCATTAGCTGGAGAGACTGATGACGACTAAAGAACTATGAACAATAATTTGGCCGTATGTCAAGACCCTTCAAAAGCACACTTTCACAAGCCAGCTATGGATTGAGCCCGCATCAGTGTTATCATAACGTGGTTACGTCCTCTTTCAAAAATTAAGTCAAGGTAATCTTAATAACTGATGAATAATGACATCGTCATTCACTATAGTCAGCTATAAGAGTTTAATCATTTTCGAACGATAAAAACGGTCTACTGACCACGCCAACAACTAGCTAACATATAATTTCTTGAGTTAAAGAATAAAACTCATAAGAATTTATGCCCCGAATAACCTTCCAAAGGGACTACTTTATTGGTAAACAGTCAATAAAATATTAACCAATACTTAAACATTAAGTTTCACATTAGATGTTACCAAAGAAGGAACGAAATTTGCGAGCCACTGTTATTCCTAAATTGATACAAGTCTTTCCGATGTAATATATTTGCGTAAGTTAAATTTCAAAGGGATTCTCTACATTGCGACCATCATTTGACTGCTCTATCAATAGATTTATTATGCTAGCATTTTTACATATATATATATATATACCCGCACAGTTATTTTCACATTTACGATGAAAAGTATTCAGTATTTTTTGTACAATTTAGGCCATGACCTGTTTTGGTTATAAGTGGGACTGACCGAAACTTTGATAAGTACGCTACTCATACAAGCCTACAAAGTGTAGAAATGCGTATGAGATGAAAGCTTTCATCCCCCGTTACAAGCGGCCTATTTATGCAATACAAAACTTTTGAGAAGGTAGAATGATTTTAAAGGTTACTTTCAGTCTCAAATTAGATCTTTTCGCCAAGGTGATCGGTCTGTTAAACTAAAGGAAATAAGTGTATGTGAAAAACTCAGGCACTGTGTTGCTGTGTAATTTCATATCAATTATTCTATTGGATATACCACACAGCGGAACAGTATTACCTAGTGGGAGACACGCGGAACACAACTTATTGTTCAAATCATATCAGCAGTAACGATAAGACTACGAAACTTGATTTGTGATAGTTTTCATCTTTCTCTCCCATTTGTTCTGGTATATCCAGCAAACAAAGTGATACATGAGCAACTAGTTTGTCTAGAACTGTTTAACGTTGCTTTTAACTCTATTGGCCATTGTGAAAGTGGATACTTTTCAGGTCTAAAAACTCAAACACAGAGTACCTATCTTGGGTGATATTTGGCATAAGAATACTACAATATTTTTCTCGGTGGTCTCATATTCTTTCATCACTCTCTGAACTACATTACACATGCAAGAAAGGTATCGTCAATTTACTTATCTAAATTATCTAAATTTTAACTTCAGTAAAGCTACTGAGTCTTCACCTAATAACTCTTAAATATCCCAAATATCTATTAATGCTGCAGTAAACATAGCATACCTTAACAGTGGAAATATAATACACCATCCACTATCTTTGGCCTCTAAGTTATGTGACATTTGGCTGAGATGTCATGCTTCTGAGAAGCTTTGTCAGTAATTTCACTAAAAATCTCAGATTCGCTTAAACTGAATCTCATGGTTCGCAGCTTAGACGATTTATTAGTTTTTAAAGATGGGATTAAGTTACTCTGATCCATTTTTGAACCAAATTAGTGAACAAAAACTATACAATTCTACTCGTTATTCAACTGTACGCGCAGAACTTTCACACTATTTGCTGTTGCTCCCATTGAATCCACGACGACAAGCAATCATCCACGATGATATAATGGTTGGTCTTTGTTCAAAATTAAGGAAAATATTCTTTCCACTCTTAAACAAGGCTTCGTATGAGCAACTGAAAATGCAAAATAAGGAGGAATAAGGAACATGGTGTGTGTGCACGAGCGTTCGTAACATATCACTGTAATGTAGCTTCGTGTAACAATAACAAAGTAGTTGCTCAATCATTGATAGTCAAGAAGATAGTTATTTTTGACAGACTTTACTCATTTCCAAACTTTCTCTAAATTTCGGTTGAAAGCAGTCGTAAAACATTTCTGAAGCACTAGAAGCATAGTCTGCTAAACACAACTAGAATCCAAACAGTTACATATAGTCGCTATTAAAACCTCTATATCCTCCCAATGTAATTTGAACGTTAAAGATGTGCTCAAGATTAGGAAGCTTATAGCTTAGATATCTCACGGTTAAACAACTGAGTTATGCACTTCACTCACACATATTTGGCGCTAAACAATTATTTATAAGTGTGAGTATCAGCCTCGATAAAAGTCTGTTCGACAGGTCCTCATAATGCTGATAATAATTCATTTCTAAGCGTGATCTTAAAGTTTAGTTGACGCAAAATGTTCTGAAATACTAAATATCTTGGCGCTCGTTAGAATCCATCTTCAGAAGTCAGTAACATCTCTCAGAATAAAATTACATACTTGGTTTTAAAGGTGTTGTAAGTAACAAAATTCTGACCCATAATAATAAACTGACTTTTTTAGAGGTAAAAGTTTACAGGAGATGCTCACACTACTTTCAAAATATCTGAAGGCTTGCAGACCCTGATGGCTCACTTTCATGTGGTCTACAGGAGAAGATGGATCTTAAGTGGTTGTGCCACATGATGACACTGCAAGCTGTTCTGGCCTTGCAAGAGGCTAGAATGAATGTGCTAAGCTCCCCAGAGAATCATCGAGTCAGCGAAATAGGTCAGAGATCTTACACGTCGTACTACCTGGGGGACATAGAGCTGCTTGGTATTAAGAAACAAAAGGACTTAGGAATTACTATCAACCATGACTTGAAAACAAGTGCATGTTGTAATACAGATACAGCTATGGATTTTTGAGTGCTGTGGGAACTTTGAATTGACTTTGGATGCTTAGATGAGTCTATCTTCAAAATATACAATTCAAAAATGTCAGGGCTCACCTAGAATACACAAGCGGCTAGTCCATGCTTCAAGGGGGAACCACAATACAAATGGAAGGAACTAAATTAGTCAGTGGCATCATCCGCCTTCCTTGTGAGAAGAGAATGGAGCATTCGAATGTCTTCCGATAATTATACTGAAGGAGGAGAGATGACTTGATTTTGACATACCGTATATTAAAGGGTGATTTGGCGATTCGATTTTCTAGGCTTCTCTCTCCATTTAAAATACTTTGCTAAGTCATCACAAAAAGCTGCTCAAACCACGAACGGATAAAATACGTGTTGATTTTTAATTCTTATATCAGGTAGTTACTAACTGAAACACCTTACCCGACCGAATAATACAAACTCCATCAGTAAACTGTATCGAGGAGAAGTTAAATCTCAAAACATATACATATATATATTGCAAAAATTGACAGTGGCCATAGGAACCTACTATGGTTTATTATCTAGTCCTGACGCTAAATGTAAGTAACTAAACAGGATGTGTGAAAAGGACAACCTTAAGTGAAAATTTTATAGTGAATTTTGCAGTATTAGTTCATTTATGGCACGGATAAAGATGATATTTCTTCTTCAGTGAATTGTAAAATCTGTTGTAGTGATAATTGCTATCATGACAAATGACCTACAGTCAAATTTGTTAAGACAGGCTATGACAATATACATAATGAAATATAAAAGGCTTTCAAATTGTTTAAAAGCAGAAGCTAAATTTCTACATGAGACGAAAATAATTTTCACCAATTAATTCAGTAAGTGAATATAATTAACTGATACACATAACTCGACACATCAAATTTACTTACTATCAATTTCTGTATCTTCTTCTGCTTTAATTAATATGTGACCGGCTACATCGTCTCTTGGTTCAAAGACTCCTAGTTCATTTTCTATATTTATCTCTATTTCATATGTCATAGACTTCTGACATTTCATATCCATTTGGCTTTTATCAACTATACAATGTACAAAAATCCATTTTAACTGAACACGAAATCAAAATTAGGACATGAAAATCGCTCAATAAATATTTACATGAACTTTTAATGAGTTAGAGGAATAAAACAAATAAAACGTACAACTGTTCACTGAGGTCAATAATGATTAAAAATTGTTTATGTCTCATGAAAAAGCAGACAATCACATAAAAAATCACTCTGTCTGAGACATTTATGTGTTGTTGCGTGAAAGAGTAACTATTCAATATCGTTTTCACGAGGAAGTATAAACCAATTTGATTCCTTTGGGCTCATTTCTTGATTGTGAGGTGAAGGTCCCTGGTCTTTGGTAAACTTCTGCGTAGTTCGTTCCGTCACTCGACTGTCGTAGCTTTGGTTGAGTCCGAAAGAATTAGTGCTGGTATTAATTATATGTTGTTTGTAGTATGCGGTGTGTTTAGACTCTGTTACTACTGTGAATGGAGTTGATCGTTTCACCAGTTAGCCCTTCTGTGTCGTCGTCAAAAGAAAAGAGATAATAATAGATATGATTAGTGTAGCTTTTTCAGACTAAAAGACAGAAAAAGAAATAAAAAAAAGAAATAATAAAAACAGGCGGCCAATTAAATTTGAAATTGAAATATATATATATATAATGTCAGTGATAATAAGTGTAAGTGTGGTAGTTGGGGTAGTCAGGAGAGTAAAGCGGGAGAGAATGCAGAGAGGTGAAAAGACGAATTAAGATGTCTACCTATTGGTGGTGTATGAGATTTTAAGGGGATAGGCAATTTGGACGCAGTCTTGTGTCACTGTATAATTGTCCAGCCTTCGCTTAATGGTGTTCACAGACGGTACCATAGCTACATCTGTCGGTAAGCAGTTCCAGGGACGACAATTTCGCACCCGTGTCCTTGCTCTCTGGTGAGCTATCCTTCTGGGATTTCTACGAGAAAGCCTATACCTACTCAATGGCAGAACTTCTTTGTTTGTGTGATTCTGGTCATTTGTTAATCATTGTTAATCAAATCCCTCCTAAGCCGACGTAGCTAAGTGTGAACAGGCCGTCTTCGAACAGTCTCCAAGAGTTTTGCGTCTCTTCTAAGCATTTGTGGTGCAAGGATATTATGCACTTCAAGGTGTGGTCTGACGTACATTTTTTACAACCTTAGAAAAAGCCCAGGAGTGAGTACACCTAACTGTCTATTTGTAAAGTGTATGACCGTATATGCCCTCACTACGTCCCCCGTATAATTTACGCTTGTGTCCATTTCTTCCGTTAGAAATAAGCCTAAGTCACGCCCCGACTTTGTGCAGGACAAGCTTTCGTTGCACAAGGTCTAACTTGCATTCTGCAGCCTGCAGGTGCGTAATTTCACTACTTTGCACCTCCTCAGGTTGAAAGTCATACCACTGGCCATCGCCCAGTCTTCTAGAAGCTTTATATCTGCCTGCAGCCTGTCTGAGTCTTCCGAACACTTTATTGCCCTCCATATCTTTACATAGTCAGAGTATAGAAGGGTTGGGCGCCTTAGGCGGCATGGTGGGTGATTGATAAAAATCAAAAACATCAGTGATCCTAGGATAGAACCCTGTGACACTCCCGATGACGAGCCGTGTCAAGACGATTGAACTTGATTGACCTTAGTGAAAAATTTCCTTTCACCTAGGTAGTCCTTCAACCATGACAGAAGTGGCTTACCTATACCTGTCTGACCTATTTTTTGTAGGAGAAGCTCATGGTGAACTGTGTTAAATGCTTTCTCAAAGTCTTGGAAGATCACATGGATTGAAATATTCATATCCCAGCATGATGTCCAATCGTCTCAAGCTGATAGTAGGTTTGTTGAAAGGGGTCTACCTTTCCTGAAACCGTGTTGGGCTTCATGGGTGTTGTCTGATGCAATCATCAATTGTGCTTTCCAGTTCTTTTGATGCCACTGGAAGTAGCGCTACTGGTCTATAACTTGTGGCATTTTCCTTATCCCCAACCTTGAAGATCGGAGAAAGGATGGCTCTTTTCCACTCCCTTTACAGTTTCTTCGAATCCATCGAGTCGCATAAGGGCCTACAGAAAGCTTCGGCACACTGTTTCAGAACAGATGGCTTGATATCGTCACAACCTGGGAACTTTCCAGATGTGAATCTCTGTAGCTTCCTTAGTACTATTGCCGGGTTTATTTGGAGAGTAGCTATCACTCCTGACTCTCACGTTGCACCGGTTCCTGAGATCCAGGTAAGCGTCGTGGTCGGTCCGATTCTTGGGTAGTCGCCGAGTAGTTCAAGCCTTCCTCTTGCTTGTGACATACGTTGCGTACCTCTCTTCAACCATAATGATTCCCTCTTCGACTGTACTGTAGCTAGACGGGATGGTCTCTGAGACTGCTGTGTCAATAGTCTCTTTCGCTACTTCCCAGTGTTCATCCACAGGTAGCTCATGCCACAGTAAGGGCCATTCTGCGTCGAACAAAAGCGTCCGCATTTCATCATAGTCCACCTTGTTATAACGCAGATATGGTCGCGTAACGTTCCACTGCAAAGGCTTATGGAGAACAAGATTAAATCCTATGGCTGCATGGTCACTACTTCCTAGGGGGTCATGATCTGGACCTTTTCGACGAGTAGTTGGTCACCAGTTAGAATATAATCTAGTTTCAATGACTTATCACTAGGATCCCACCTAGTGTCGTCTCCAACGTTCTCAGCCAGTCCTGTATTTCTGATGGTCTGCAGTAGGTTTCGACCGAATTTTTCCTGAGCATACCATGCCAAGGTTCAGTGATGGGGCATTGAAATCTCCAGCTGTGGTGATTTGATCATAGCCTAAGTCCCATACCCCTGTCATGGTGTTGAGCAGTAGCTGATTGTGCTCTGGGTGGTCGGTAGATGCCACCCAGTAAAAGCTTGGTGTGGCCTATGGTGAAATGGTACCACATGGAAACTGGGAGTTCAGTAAGTGGTGGGTCCATTGCAAGTACATATTTAAGTTGCTTGTCAAATTATATGGCAACTTCCCCCTTCTTTTTTATCCCTTTCCCTCCTGACCAGAACCATTGCACTGATACTGATTTCGTTGTCGGAGATGGTGGGGGTTTGCCACATTTTAGTGAGGATTATTATTCTAAGGTCTAGGTGTGACTGGAGGTTTCTCTCAGCCCTCTCATATTGCTGCTGACAGTGAGTCTCACAGCCTCAGCGTGTTGTGGGGTAGTTTACGTTGCGTTGTCTGCCGGTAGGGGACTTAGTATTGGGACTAATTGACTGATTCCGATGGAACCAGCCTGTTGTCGTCTTCTTCCTTGGATATGGGTAGTACACTGACTGCCATATGCAGTACCGCATCGCTCAAGACTCGAGGACGTATTAAGGCCTCCTTACGGTTCGAGGTCTGCTTTCGCAGCATCGGATGTGTCCTCCAAATTAACCGTTTGTCTCTTACCACCGTTGAAGTACTACAGCCAACTGTTCCTGGGAGTTAAATTTGACACTTAGCAGCCTTGAAGAGCTAATCAGTGTGAGATGAGCGGGGCGAGGTGGTCGGAAAGTGGAGATTGATCCAGAAGCGTCTACGGCCATCTGAGATGACAGCCATCTCCACTGCTGTACGTCATGCATGTGTTTTTCACAAACAGTGCCAGTTCCCAGCCCGGAAAATCATGTGTGACCATAGAGGTGAAAGGCATCAGTTCCGGTTACTCCTTCGCCGTATGACTGTCAGCCCATGGCCCATCAAGTCCTACTCTTATGCTGAAACTCCTGTCGATAGCTAGTACTTGAGCCAGTGATACAACCCTTTCAGCCTCTTCTGCAGAGCTCAGTGTAACCTTTAATAAAGGTGGCTTACCCTGAGGTGCCTGGACACCCCTGTACAGCGTGCACAATTTTTTTGAACTGATGTTCAGACCTAATTTATTGCACAAATTGGACGACTGTTCCTGATCAAACAGGGCCCGCAGTCCAAGCAAACTATCATTGCACACGTGCACATTAAACGGGATAAGGGAATTTGACCGACTAACCTCAGATTTAGGTTTAGTTTTTGGCCGCTCGTCCTCCTTTGCAGGGCCAGTCACTTTAGACTTCATCAGGTTCTGAATAGCCTTTGCCATGTTGCCACGCTTGCTAGTGGATGCAAGTGCTTTGGCAATTCCATTTTCCCCTGATGTTGTAGGTGTGACTTTGGGAGTCTTCACCTTGTGAAGATTGGTATTTGCAGTCGGTTGGCCTGGAGTATCCTTCTTACTGTTTTTACCAAGTTCCGGTAGTGAGGTGTTGTCAAGTGTAGAGCTGCATGAAACTGTGTTGAGACACAAATGTTGTAGTGCTGTTTCTGCTATCCACAGAAACACTGTGTGAGACTGCACCTGGGCGGCAAAGTGGGCAGATGTACCAGAACCATGGGCATTGTTTATTTCTCACAAACTCATAATATGCTTTTGGCACCCCTTTGTCACAATGTCAGTGTACCCATAGTTTGTGGAAATTGCATTCAAATGCTGAATCAGTTTTGGAACCGACAATTCTACAGTCCTGACATTCGTCTACTTCTCTAGATGACGCTTTCTGGGTCTTATGACGTCTTGAGCGTTTCTTTGATAAAACCGGTACCCTAAATTTGATTGGAAATCTCCACGCCGTAACAGAGTTCGGCCTAATGAGAAGACGCTGAAATGCCATGCACGCAATCAAACTGACTCAATTCAAAAGTGTATTACTGAGTTATTAAAGAACGTAACAGATAGGTTCTATGCTGTCGACAATTTATCAGAAAACTTAAAGAAACCTTTTTTAGATTATGTAGATGTAACTGTGAGTAAAAGGAAAGAAAAGAACCGTATGAAGCTGCTACAGAGTTTTGAGAACAAGGCACCTGAAACAAGATTTCCTCCGAACCCAGGTCGTTTTGTGCATAATTCTTTGGATGTAGTCCCTAATGAAGTGGATATACAGGTTTTATCGCTTGGCCCTAAATTTTTTGATAGCAATGTTAAAATTAATAAAATGGGTGCATAAATTCAGTTTGAAAGTCTCTACACTCGAACTGAAGGCCTAACACCCTCCTCAACTGAAGATGCTGAAAGACTTAAGCCAACACTT